TGTGTGCGGCCTTTTTTGGCCACCGATAAACCTGTGTGTGGATATATAAACTGAATGTTATGCCAATAATTAGTTGTTTAGTTCAGTTGTCTACCTGTAAAATTTCAGCGTAGTACATATAGTAATTTACGAGATAATTAAATAAAAGTCGTTAGAAGGTGCAAGACCGTGGTAACCCGACCATGTTTAGGTGGTTACAAAAAAGCGATCACCCAGTACATTGTGCTGGCTTTTAAAATATGTAGGATATTATTTGCAAGTTTACTACGGATATGTACATAAGTGTTACAAAAAACTACATGTTTTTTAAATATTTTTTATTTACGATTGTTTATTGCATAATTAGTAATCAGCCGGGAGATTAGGTATTGTTTTGAATGCTTTTGTTTTCTTGTAATGTTTAGGTGAATTGTTTATAGTTGTTCATAGAATTGGTACCTGCGTAGTATTTGTTAATTGAAGTTTAATTTTAGTGATGTTTTTAAGTGATGAATCGACTTAGGCTAGCATATCGCGAACAAACTCTGTATTGCATTATTGCTGTAATAATGTTGGAGAAAATAAAATATTTGATCACAAAATCGCGGTGAGTTAAATTATAATAAAATAAATTATTTATGTAAATTTAGTAATAAGTGATAAACCTACCTAAAAGTTATGATCGTTTTTAATTTGTTCACCCTGAACGAAATTTCAATATTAGCATTAGTAATTAATATCCTAAGACAAGAATTCACAATTACTTAAATTGAATCGAATTAGCATTAATGCCTATTATCAGCAATTAGGTACACACATTTTGAAGAACTCTCAAGAATACGATAAATATTTGCAAAAATAGAAAGCGGAAGCGCACACGTACTTTACAACACGTATATTATCTGCCTAAGGGCAGTTTAGTGCAGTCAAGTTTAGTGCACTAGATGCATATTGCAAACAATGAAGTATCCCTTCGCCCCTCCCCTCCCGCGTTCTAGCGAAGGATGTATTATCAGCGATTCTTGATTGACAAATATTATCTGACCAATAATTTTATCTATAAAAATGTATCACTTTCACTCGATAAATTAAATTACCGTTATTATATCAAAATATCATTCAACAACTGTTCGTTTTTAACAGAAATTAACAGTCACAGGTAGGTACATAGGTATAGATAATTCTCGGTTCTCGGTATAGACCACAGAACAATATTACCTACTCTTACGAGGTATACGACTGTTGGGCGATGCAATGTTGATGCATTCTAATTTACAACTGTATTCTTCTACTATTATGGTCTATTTTAACTAATTGTAGATGACTTGTTTCTTTAAATATTTTGATGCATTCAAGTCTAAGCTCTATATACCTCAAAATAAAATACAATTACTTCAGTGTTATTTCTTTACAAAAAAAATCAAAGAAATGAAACGATTTCTTAATGGTTTAAATTTTCGATTTATTGCAGTCAGGTGAATCGTTCATACATGTATCTACATATTTATAATTTTAGCGGGCCAGTGCAGATTTTCTGTTGATTGTAGCTCCCGTAGTTAAACAGACTAAAGAAATTTTAAGTAAAGAAACTAGTGCTTAAGATCAATTAGGAAAAAAGAACAAAATAAATAATAGGTAATAATAATGAATAAATATTGAATGTATTTAACACTGTACGCAACTGTACCGAAATCATAAGGTGTATTACACTAAACATTTTAAAAGACAGCGCAATGTACTAGGTGATCGCTTTTTTGTAACCACCTAAACTTGGTCGGGTTACCACGGACTTGCACCTTCTAATGACTTTTATTTAACTATCTCGTAAATTATTATATGTACGATGCCGAAATTTTACAGGTAGACAACTGAACTAAACAACTAATTGTTGACATAACATTCGGTTTATATATCCACACACAGGTTTATCGGTGGCCAAAAACGGCCGCACACATTGTGATCGTGAACGTGGAGAGCTACATTTCATCATAACTTTTTAGTCACTTACAGTATTCTTACGAAAATTCGTATACATTTGAAGGTAGTTACAAGCAATAGAATAACGTTTGAAGTAAGTCTTTAGAGGTCTTATTCAAAGTGTTAGGACGTATTGAAGTGTTTTCATACTTACCTAAATAATTTTTAAACGGTCCATTATTTTTGTTATTTTACTGTCGAACAAATTAAAACTAATCCTTAAGAAGTTATGTACAAAAGATGGTTACAATCCGCTTACCCGTTTCAGAGATCCAGCAAACCCACAAACGTTACTCCAGCAGGATCTCGAATAACTTCGCAGCAGAAGAAAATACAAATACCAAATAAATTGTAACATTTACCTAGTCCAGATAACTAATTATTTAGCTAAAATTTATTTCAATATTACAATTAAAAAAGAAAATGTCTGGCTGCGGTAACGTTTCAAACGTTACCCCAGCAGGAAATGTTTTTTTGAAATAACTAAAAAAGTTTAAGAGAAACAAATTTAAAAATGTGCTTAACAATTACAGAAGGGGAGCAACTAATTATCTATAACGTTTAAATGACCATTTTCGACATTATTTTGCTGGGGTAACGCACACTATATAAAGTGTTAGGACGTATTGAAGTGTTTTCATACTTACCTAAATAATTTTTAAACGGTCCATTATTTTTGTTATTTTATTGTCGAACAAATTAAAACTAATCCTTAAGAAGTTATGTACAAAAGATGGTTACAATCCGCTAACCCGTTTCAGAGATCCAGCAAACCCACAAACGTTACTCCAGGAGGATTTCGAATAACTTCGCAGCCGAAGAAAATACAAATACCAAATAAGTTGTAACATTTACCTAGTCCAGATAACTAATTATTTAGCTAAAATTTATTTCAATATTACAATTAAAAAAGAAAATGTCTGGCTGCGGTAACGTTTCAAACGTTACCCCAGCAGGAAATGTTTTTTTGAAATAACTAAAAAAGTTTAAGTGAAACAAATTTAAAAATGTGCTTAACAATTACAGAAGGGGAGCAACTAATTATCTATAACGTTTAAATGACCATTTTCGACATTATTTTGCTGGGGTAACGCACACCCGGCCATCGAGGACCCGCAGTCTCTCTCCGTCAAGCGATATCTCGCGCTGCGCTGGCACGCTCTGACCATTGCGAGAAATCGCTGTAGGTATGCTATACTCCAGCTCCCAGTGCTACTTACATTTTTCGTAGTTTTATTTATTATTAAACAAATCTGACATAAATCGAAGTACACGGTTCTCATAGTTGTTCACTTAATGTATTTCAACTTCAATTCATGCTCAACCCATCCACGCTCGCCTCGCCGGTACCTATAAAACAACCTTGACACTCGCCGGCCGCTGCCGCGGCACGCTCACTGCGCTCGCTCGCTCGGCTCGCGCGTTGTTGGTTCCAATACTAACAACCTAACCTATCGTTTCATTTTCGATAAGCTAATTGAATTGGTTCAAGTAGTACACCGCAATCAGTTCGGTTCTGGCCATAGAGTATAGTAGTACTAGGTTCAAGCACTTGCCGGATGAATATTGGACATTCCACAGTCAGCTTCCTTATTATAAAGTAAGGATCGTAATTCGCAAGGAATATGAAATAAAAGCCAACGATAATGATGCATTTTCCTTTATTAAGAAATAATGCGCGAAGTTTTACACATGCAATTTTCGAGATTTTTAAGTCGAAAAGCTGTCAGCACGATGCACCAAATTATTATCATTACAATGTTCAAAGCGAATGCTTTAGAAGATACAGACAATAGTGTACTAACATTTAACATTTTGATTGCAAACTAACAATAAAAATGCTTCTCATTTATAGATTTTGGTGCAAACGACTTAATTAAACTTTTGTTGGCACAATCGACGCCAACTGCCGTTCAATAACTCTGTATAAACAAAGCTCTCAATTGCTCATTTATAATAGCACAGCCATTAACAATGCTACCGTGGATCTTTGCCAAACGATTGCATAGCTTCAGAGCTATTTAGCAAACCGCTATACAGTAGACGTATAATCTTCAATACATTGAATTATTTTAACGGTGGCTCAAAATACTTTTTGTAAAATTAATTTTTATGGTTTAGCATAAGTAGTAGTCTCCTCCGACAGTATAAATAGAAAGTGACCTTGCAACGACATCAATTTCTACATAGAACCATTTAAATTACGTCACATAAATATATATTTTTAATTATGTATTAGATCAAAAATATATTCTATAATAAGTACATAATCAATGCTAAAAGGCCACTAATAAGAAACTATGGGGTCTATCGGATTGTGTACTCGTTTGTACGAATTACCGCTTGTTATTTTGACCCCTTGAAAAAAGTGTGAACGATCTACGTGACCACACAACACCGAGAATTATTTAAACGTTCAATCTAAAAATTAAAACGATTTACTGCAATGTCCTAATTAATACATTTTCCAATGTCACTACATAATTAAAGTCTATAAATAAAATGCTATCGCTTTAGGTACAATAAAACCTAAGATACTAATCGTATTCCACATACTGCAACAATACTTACATTATATTATTGCGATACTTTAAGTACTACTTCAAATGTGAGAATGATATAATGTATTTGTTATTACATTCATTATTTACGAAAGGTTATATTTATATTATGTATATTATACAAGTGTAAAGGCACAAACAATATAAAATATTTCATTGTATCTGAAATATTCATTTCAGAAGAGCAATACTTATAATATGTGTGGTGTTGTTCCTTGGATGGTTTACCTATGTAAAATATTGTTATATTCAAGGAATACTATAAAAATAGTTCATTTGGCAATTTATATAATTAGTATGAATATAAATACAATATTTATACGAGCAATACATGTTCCGTTTTAACGATGACTGGCGATAGTTAAGTTTAGTATTACAGAAGTAAATCTTAATATTAATTCTCACAATTTGGTGTATATGGAAGTGTTACAAAGTGGAATTTGATAAAATTACAGAATCTAGATTTAAATAATTAACTACTTTTTAAATCTTTACGGCGACCTTTGTAATCTTTGGTGTTCCGAGATCCATTTTTTGACTCTTCTTATAGTTCTCCAGTTCTGTATCATCGGCAGAACCATTCACAGCATTCGCTTGGTATTTGGTACTGTTTCCATTTACAATATGTCCGTTCGTTTTGTCTGGATAGGTTAGCTTTTCAGTGCAGCCATTGACTTTGTCACTGACCTGCCTATTAATTGTTTCTGTCACGTAGGCATCCGGATTTTCGGTTGAGTGCCCGTTCATTTTCTCAGCGGTGTAACCGTTCATTTCATCTCCTGATTGTCCATTTACTTTCTCACCTGAATGCCCGTTCATTTTTACAACGCCGTTCGTGACATTTGGCTTATCATCTTTGTGGTCATTCATCAAGGTTTTACTTTGTCCTGATAAATCAAAACAAAAGGTTCTTTTAGCCCCAATATACGTCTTTCATAGAACAATGGTGCAATTGTGTTAGTCTTGTGTAAACTAAATAATGTAAATTAAATTAAAATTAAACATTCTTGAATAGCAATGTTAGTAGTCCATATTAGTGGTACCATCTGTAGAGCATATATTGGAGTACTTATGTCCCTGAATAATACTCTTCGTATCTGGAAATTTACTTGAGGCATTTAATATATCTAGGGATCGCCCTTATTGGGTTACAACTTTACACACATACTAGAACGTAGCTATCTCTCGCGCATTATATGCACTAGCATTTTCAGAAAAAAATTACACTAAGGACTGCGTAAGAGATATTTAGGTGTAGAGTAAAAATTGAATGTGTGATCACTAATGAGATAAAAAGTAGAAACAGTTTTTTTTTATTACTTGATATAACTAGTAATAAAGAAGACTAGTAAAACTAATAGGAGTGTCTAATCTATTCTATACTACAACACAATTACGCCAGTGTTTAAGATCACAAGAAACGCATGCACAGAAATAAAGTGACAAATATTAGTCCGTTATAAGGTATATCGCAAATATTTATGGAACATTAAGTCATACTGATTTTATCAAGTTCCAATAACTTTTGCTGACGAAGTTATGTTAGCGACGAATGAATGTATACCATCCAAAATCTGAATAGCAAAGCATACCCCACTTGCTGTTCTTACCGTGGCGGTCCTTGCCCGTGTAGTACCTTTTTGAGGTCTTCCAATCTTCCTTCAGCGACAAATTGTACATGGAATAGGCGGGGTCGCCGGTCACCTCCTTCTCGATGGTCAGGAACTTCGGCAATGATGCAATCAACGCTGTCTGGTCATACGCAGCACTATACGTCTCCAAAAGAACTAATCCGCGACACCTGAAATTATACCTTAGATTATTATGTAATATATTAAAAGTAACTACTTTACTATAAAAGGCATATTTTATACTTTTAAATGCAATACATACTAATATAAAATTAAATGAAGTGCAGAATAATAAAAGATTCATTTATAACAATTAATAATAGTAAAATAAAATACGTAAACAGAAGGAATATGGAATTAACACAACAAATTACCTGGGATGTGTAGGTTGTCTATACATATCCAACTGATAGTACTGATTGTTGTATATGAAGCAACGCCGCTTCTTGAAGATTGTGAAATGAGCGTCGTCGCGTTGTGGGAGAAGATTTAAGTAGTCTCTGTGTGTCAACTGCGTTCGTACTTCAACTGACTGCCCGTTAGTGGGATGAAACTTTCTCAACGTGTGAATGTAAGACCAGTGGCCCTTCTGACCACGCTTGCGAAGCCTGACTTGGGCTTTGCGTAAATCGCTCTGCAAGTAGTTGTGAACGACATCGAAGTCTTGAAAGGCTGGGAATTCTGAATCGGCAACAAGAGGAGTTTTGACAAGAAACTTGCGTTTCTTGGAGTTGACGTTGAGTCGGTCGCCAGTCTCGATGCCAATTTTCTGGCATACGCAAGCAATCAGGCGGTTCATTTTCTTATCGAAATCTGTCGAATTATCGATAACATCAAAGTATGGATGTCCGATCCATGCAGCGGCTGCATTGTAGTCTAATTCCCTTGCGAGCTCCACTCCCTCTGATCGGCAAGCATGGTCCTATAACAATATACAGTTCAGCATTATTCAATTTTGAGTACGTATAAGATGAATTAAATATAAATACGATAGGTATACACTGGGTAAAGTAAGCAGGCGAACATTTTTCAGTCATCATGACTAATCTGAAAGTTCTGGTATCAAGAATACAAATACGGTCTTTGCCAGCGACGTCACGGAATCATTGTTTAGATTTGTTACAGTTGGTTTTATTACTAGTCTTAGGTGGCATTGTGCCAATGTTATTGTTAATAAAATCGAAAGAATTGCATGCGGTGTGCTCGTTATTATTACTTGACTTTGATGTGTAACCGTGAAAATTAGGGTTCATAAGTTATGTTACTACCCGTGTCAGTCTCCACTCGGAGCCAGCGCATTTCGATCGATTAGTTTAGTAATATTATGACGTACAACACAAACATAACAATAAAGCCGCAACATTGAACTTGAGGTCTGAGCATATGTTCAATGTAATAATTGAAAAAAAAAATACAATAGTAGACTGAAAAACAAGGTATTTAAATTGATCGACGTGTTTACTCTAACGTGCAATTGCCATAAGCGTTGAGCGTGACCGAATAACAAATTGAATTCACTTGACCGTTACACATTCGATAACATTCTATAAGTCATGGTCAATGTAACATTGGATATGATATCGATCATTGCAATGACCGATACAGGTACTTAAAATAACTAGTATGTTTTTTTAATAATTGAACTCATCTCTTTTCTCTCAACACGCAAAGAGCATGAACAAAATCACGTGGAGTTAATAATCGTATTGAGCTTGTCAAGTATAATTTGATGAGATAACACATTTTGAGGAACACGTGAATAAATAAATCTAATGGTACCAAATATATAAGTACAATAAAATTTCATACTCTACTGTGTTATTATTTAAGTCACGTTTCCGTACACGTGTTCATATCGGCATAAAAGGCTGTCATGAACTTAAAATACTAATAAAAGTAATCACTTGAACTATTATGATAATGTATGTCAAGCAAAACGGATGTTGGTATTTTTTATACCTCGTATACTAAAAAGATAGAATATGCATGTTACATATTATGTATTACTTATGAAGAGAGATGGGGTCTTTAAGAAAACTTTTTGGTTCAGTTTGGCTTCGTAAAGGTATTTTTGCGATCGTACTGATTAGGATTTAAGTAGAAAACTACTACGTCCTATTGGTCCCGTGTGAAATGTAAAGAAAAATAGAATAGAAAGATAAATCGTCACTGGATGCTACCACATATACTAACGCTTAGCTAGAAAAAAAAAATCTATACAAATAAATAAAATTGGAGTGTCTGTTTGTAGTATTAAAATAACCGCTTTTTACTAAATGCATATGTATGTTTACACGGTACATATGCCAAAATAACATTTTTTACAATTTTTGTCTGTCTGTCTGTCTGTTTGTTCCGGATAATCTCTGGAACGGCTGGACCGATTTCGACGGGACTCTCACTGGCAGATAGCTGATAACATAAGGAGTAACTTCGGCTACTTTTTTTAGACTAGCTTCGCCCCGCGGCGTTGCCCGCGGTTATAACAACAAACGCGGGTCTCAGCTAGTTATAATTAAATACGTATACATAGGTTAGTGTGTGCTAATACTTTAAAGTACCCCTGCATCTTGAGCGTGTACATTGTAAATCTTATCGTATCATTTATAGATTTATATCCGTTATAAATATATCAGAATTGTTATATAAGCAATGGGTTCTTATCATATCCTAATATTTATATACAATGTTCTTGATTAGATTGTTTATTTTTGTTAATTAAACGAGTTTTTTTTTCTGGTAGTTTCGCCTATGTGTTGGCACTGTGTCATAGCACAATATTGTGTAGCCTTCTTTAATTAGTTCGAGTTTTTACGTCGTAAGATGTTTTCAAATTAGCTTGACGTTAATGAGATTAGTTCATTAATATAGACGACGTTTGTTGACGTCCTTCATGCGCAAAGCCTTAGATAACTTATTCACACACTTTCTCAGACTAGCTATATATATATTACCGGCCATATTTATGGAATCATTAAGAATTGTAATATTTTTTTAACAAATCGATTTGACGACAGATCAAATTCTTGTAATAAACTATTTACTGTTGATTAACGTTATAAAAGTTTATATTATAAAATCCCAAGAATTTCCACATTTGTTTGCTTACTTATCTAAATAATGAACATTTAGGAATAATAAATATGAATATTTTACTCATTTCTGGATGTTAACATGCTGTAGCAGTAACAAAAATAGACCCAACAAATTATTCTCGAAGTCACTTTGTTCGACTTGTTCTAGTTTAAAATATCTGTTAGTATCTGTAACATTACTTTAAAAGAAAGATGATTGTTGGTATTGCATTACTCACCTCCAAAGAGTAAAAGTCTTCGGCACCGTTTGCGGCTGACACCATATGGACGATGTGATTGTACCTGTTGTCTCTCAACTCTACACTGTTCCAGTTGTTAGCCTGGCACATAGCCACCCATTTCTCTTTGGATATAACTGAAAATAAAAAATAAAGATGGTCTAGAAATGCACGAAAAAAACACGAAACTTCATGACAACCACACAATTTAACATTATGTGCGTGACATGCTTTTATAATATTACGGATTTTGGATGAGACCGAATGACCTCTTTGGAACAGTCTCAGACAAAATACTCTAAATAAATTAGATTAAATAACTACAGAGAAATATCCTTTGTAGTTATCTAGTAGGGAATGCTACGGGTATTCGACTTCGGTTTCTATAAATTTAAATCGGTGCTATGACGAAAGTCTTAACTTGTTTGTTATCTCCGAGCAGTGTTGGGTCGGGAACCTCGCTGGTGTTGTTTGTTTTTTTTTCTCGGTTTATCAGTCTACGAATGGTAGGCATTAACTCTTTTCTAAATCTAAATTCTAATAGTTTTTTTATAAAATATTATTGAAGTAATAATAAATCCAAAACGAATTTGAAAGATGACGCAAATAGTTACCTAGGAATGAAAGAATGATAACAATTAAAGGGTAAAAATACGATACGAAACAAAAAAGAAAGAATTTTTATCAACATCAATGTTCGGCAATGAAACTTTGTACAAAATTACTTTGTGTTTTCTATAAAACTATCTTTCTTGGTATTTATTTTATACGTCTTTAATTGTGACCTCGTCTAATCACATTTAAATTATCCGTGGATGATAAATTTCAACAAAAGAAGTCCAATACACCAAGCCAAATTATATCGCAATTTGTTATCTTACGTAACATTGAGACATTTAAAGGACTATAAAGTTATGAGTAGAAAGAATACAGAAGTAGAAAATAGAAGTTTAGTGGTGTAGTTATGATGCGAAAAAATGCGTTTTCTTAGTAAGATGGAGCCGAGTTATTTAAAGTTAAATTGGCTCCAGGCCTGTATCACAAACAATCCTGCAGCTTTTAGCTATCAGTGCTGTAAATGAAATACATATCGAAAATAATATAAATATATTTGAATAAAAAAACAATCGAAAAAATAATTTCAGTTGAATTTAAGCTAAAAGCTGCGTCGCAGTTTGTCAATACAGGTCGTGTGACATGTCAATCTTCAATATTTTTAATAAATATTAGATAATCACAAACTAAATGTATAGGTATACATCGTTTAATTGATATGAGATAACTATTTTATCAACTTATAAGGCCATGAAATTGAAAATTTGAGTTTTTAGATATAAACACTGTTCGTTCAAGGTATAATAATGTATTGATCAAAACCTTATTATTAGCCGGGTTTTCTCATTATCTGTAGATCTGAAACAATTGTCCGCTTATTGGCTGGTTTCTGTTCAATGTTTTGTTTACAGCTTAACTGACACGGGATCATCCCTGTATCACTCTTAGCGACATCGACAGTTCCATTTAAAAAAAAGCAAATGACGTCCGTAATATCTTAAGTAGCTTTTATCTTTCCAGTATAGCAATAATGTTTCTAATATTAATATCGACTAAGAGCATTGGATGTATGTAGGTATGTACAGTCAGCCATATGTATAATGTGGCATTAAGGCCACTTCGTGCAATGTACATGCAGGAAATTTTAAATATGTACATAAATGTCATAAGTAAAGCGGCAATTAAGTTACGATGCACGGATATTAATAAACACCCAGGGAGATCAATCACATTCAATCATATCTCGACAATGCATCTTAACAAATTGATAAAAATGAAGCATGAACTACGTCAATAAAATGTTTCTTGTAACAGTCATAACTATGATAAAAAACGTCAAAGATATTTAAAAAAAATGATTTTAATAATAACGAAACATTTTCTTTAATAATGATTTTTGATAAAGCAAACAAAAATTTAAAAAATGTGAGCACCGTAACACATTTCAAACACCTGAATCAGTATATTTAAAAAGAGTTGTTTGTAAAAAAGCGAATCTATTAAAACCTTGTTTCAAGAATATTTATAGAATTCAGGTTTTTAGGTTATGGCTATGTAGGTGTTCTAGCACAAAATTGTAATAGAAGAGCAACACACACATATTATATGTTTTATACATATTTTTTCCGCCATCGCCTTCAGTTTTATGGCCGAAGCATACCAGCGTTAGTTTATTCGAACCATTTCATTATTTTTTAACTAAATTAAAACTAGTTTAGTTTAATATTCCTACAAGATGAAGCTATATTTAAAGGTCAACAATTATAGTCAAATCCAGTTTTCAGATGTAGCCGAGATACAATAATCCCAACAGTCTACCATTATTTGTTAAATCTTTCGATGAAGTCTTTACTTTGAATATTTTTACATAAAAATACATACAGTATTAAACATTTACGGTTAAAAAAATACACAGCAATCAACAAAGCTACTCACAATTATATGGTGATGAGTATAACATTTCTATGCTAAGTGTACATTTTCAAAACGTTATGCATTTACGACATAACTTAAAAATAAGCATACTTCAGACTAAATTTTTGGGTGTTTTATGTAAAGTGCTACATATTCTAGGTTATTTCTATCCTCAAAACCTGTCTAAAATAACAGGGCGTCTTTTCACATTGAAATCTAATATTAATTGAACTATCTCTTCAAACTATTATTTCAAAGTTTATAATATAACAGGGGAATATTTACTAAAGTGTATAAAGGAACTAACCTAAAAAACTCGGGAGTTTGGTATTGGGGTAAGTGTACTGGTAATACTGACAGTCTTTTATTAATTTCCTTAATGACTAGGTACAATTTTTTAAATGTTTTTCCTTAAAGAACTAGTTGAAGTTTTTAAATGCAAGTACCTAATACATATTTACTACCATAGTCTCTCTATATCTCTAATTCTAATAGAACATTGTAGAATTGTCGTTTGTTTTTTATTCCCGCACTAGGAATATAATTATCCAGTGTCAAGGGGGACTTCACAAACACGCATCGAACGAGCACAAAGAACACACAGAGACATATTTTGCGGATCACAAAAAGTGTTGTTCCATGTGAGGATCGAACCCACAACACTCGGCGCAGTAGAAAGCTTCGAGGTGACCGCTTTACACCACTACGCCATCCGTGCAATCATGTTTGCCTGCCACATTACATTTTAAAAGATAATTTTCATCTGGTTTGACGGTAGTTAGGTATAGGGTACGCATGGTATGTTCATAATACCAGTAATCTTCCATCGCGAATTAATTGAACGTATATTCCTATTGTGCAATATTTATACCTACTACCTCTGTGTTTGTACATATTACGTTACTGTTATACGTATCGTATTAGCGAAATCGTAACTGGAACTTTGATATTTATCATGATATACACGTGACGATAATGTCACCAATAAGATATGTATGTAAACATAAACATTCAGAAATATGCCGCTTTATATTACATTTCTATTTTTGAGTTTAAAGAAATGAATTTGAGTCTAAAGAGAAGAAAAATAATTATGTATTGAAAAAAGTATTATATTCCAGTAAACCAATCGTTTGCATATTTAGGAGTGCCTTCTCTTAGGATTTTTATTTCAACAAATTATACATTTTACTGAAAAATAATGTGTCATAAAATGATTTTTTTATGGACAGAACGCTTGTTTTGTCTTAATAGTGTTGGTATTTGAAATAAGGTTTGTAAACATATGAATGATCTAATATCACAATGGTACGTATGATATTTTTCAACTCAGTTCTGATATTCTGATGTATTCCTGACACGATTCTGTGTGCCTAAAGGTTATAATGTTAACGACCGATATCATTAATTTGTAGCTAAACTTGCATTTTTTAAAATTGTTATAGCTGATCTTTATCTTTGGGTTGCTAGTTTTACATTCATAATTACTTGAAAAACGTTTAATGAACATCTACTTTATTATGCTAAAACGGAAAGTGAGTCAATCGGATGTACCTATTTATGACTAACTATTAAAAACTACATATAGAAATAAACATATTTGTGAAAAGGGTTTCCCAGCCGACGTTTCAACAACTCACGGACGGTTGAAAGACATGCATTAATATAATATGTATGAGCACTTACATGCACTGGCATCCATCGCTCCCCTATCGCATATAATAAGGCAATTCCTCTGGCACGATCTGCCCAGCTCGAAGAATGAGTTCTCAATCTGTATCATGGTCTTCAGAAGATTCTCTTGGAATTTTATAGCTGTAACAATGGCAATTTTCTAATAAATATATGTATCATACATACATCATGATTACTTCCCCTAAGATTCCGTGGATTCGAATATATAACGATTATTTTATCGTTTAATCTATCTCTCTCTCTATCTATCTACTACCTTTAAACGAGCAATTCTTGTATATAAACGGCTAAAATGATTTTCATAAAATTTAGTATGCAGGGGGTTTTGGGGGCGATTAATCGATCTAGCTAGGTTTCATTTTGAGAAAATTTACCAAATAAAAATACCCATCCAGGTTCTAGGGATGATGATATGACACTTAAAACTTTAAACATATGGCGATGTTGAAAGCAGCGACAGACTGTAATTAGCAGTCAAAATTAATTACACGTTTTTCAGAAACTGTTTAGAACTTGTTCTCTTTTCAGTGCTAACGATATGTAACGTGACATTGGTCCTACGATTTATATCTATTCGACAGAGATATTTTTATAAAAGCACATCGCCTACTCCATACCATGACAGCTTAGTGCTATCTCGATTACCACATCAGGCGTCCATATCTTTTGAAGACAAAATTTACTAACTAGATGGATAACATATGTATTACATATCATATCGTATTATTTGTATTAATTCTAGATTTTGAAGATGCCAGATGTTAATTAGAATTGTAAGTATGTGGTAATAGTTGTCTCTCTAATCCCTTACTTCAGTTCGTCGTCGTCGTCGTCACAGGTCGTTTGTATACTTGCCAATAAGTTACCAGAATATTTGATGTAACATCATTGTTTGATGTGCGTTACAAAGGCGACAAAGTGACAAATTTCTTGGTATGTTTCCAATACATTTTCAGTGTTTTTTTTTATTTTATGATAATTTGTTTTTAGCAAATATTTAGCACTAAAAACATTCAATTCAGTCTACGGACGATATCTGTAGTATACAGCGTCTGTCCATTATTCTAGACATGCCTAGCCTAATATGGAGTGGGTTCTACTACCTAAGCTAGTGCGACCAGGCACGACGAGTGCTAAAATAATTTATTTTAGTTTGTTTAGAATGATGTAATAGATATAAATTTACATTATACTTTCATTTTTAAAAAGTGCATAAAACTTTCTACTTTGATCTACAAGAAGCAATCTTTTCAAAGAAAGCATCATTTGATTATTATTATTTTTTAAAGACAACTCCCGCATTAGGAATAAATTCTGTGTCGCGGGGGACTCCACAAACGAACACAAAGAACACCCCGAGTCAGAACAAAAATTTGTGGATCACACAAAGTCGTGTTGTGGGTCCGATCCCCACATGGGACGACAGTCCCATGTGGGGATCGGACCCACAACACTCAGCGCAGTAGTAAGCGGCGCGGCGACCGCTCAAACCACTTCGCCATCCGTGCAGTCGTACATTATTTTATTTATTAGGTTCATAGCATAACATTTGATCGTAGTTGTCAATAAATCTTTTGAGATATTTAGAGCGAATTTTGAAATTCTTTTATACAACAGATGTCCGTTACCGTTAGTACCAAAATTAATGACCGTATAGATGTAAGACATGCCAACCATTAATTCTTATGCTTCTACATGTGTAAACAATTTCCATCATTTTTGTTTATTTACCTTTTCAACGTTTAGAACGTTTTTTGGCATATCTTAAAAATTTTAGTTTTTAAAATATCTTATTTAGACGTCTATTCAAATTTTTCTTATACCTACATACATAGCTATTTTAGACGCTACGGATATGACGCATATACTATGTCACTTACTAATATACATATCAGCACGACTTCGTGACATTTTAGCGAGACGTAACATTTTTGGTTGAAAATAAATCAAATCTAAAATTATTACGAAGCATTATTTTTTTCCCTATTCCTAATAATAATATATATATATGTATATATAATATTGTAAAAAAATAAAGAAAATAGTTCTTTACTTATAAATTACGGGACAACCTTTAGGAAGTATTTTCCTTATAACAGTTAAACATTTCCATGTTGTGCATCAAAACTCAGCGTACTCCACGTAAGGTCTGAGGCTCAACGCGGGTTTAATTCCTACTTGGCTGGTTTATTTTTATACATCCATACTTATAGTGTAAATGTGAAATTGAGTTTGTTTTTTAAAAATCCTTTCACCAATGGAAAGCTACATTATTATCGAGTAACACAGGCTACTTTTTAATGCGATAACCGACATACACGGGGGCACAGCTGCGTCCAAGTTTTGTTGATTACTAATTTGTTTCTAAATCTAGATCATAAATTTAAGCTACGTATTAATATTTGACATTCCTTAGTTAACGAAATATACTTAAAATGGGCATAAAAAATATCTTCTCGCCTTTATTGTAGGTAGGTATAGATCAATAAGTTAATCTTTATTTTAATAATTAATTATTTTGTTAATTTTTCTCTTTCATCATGTACCTAACACAAGTATGATGAAAACTAGGCGATACATCAAATTCGAAAAGGCATTTTAACATCTAATCAAAGTACCAAATCAGTCAATACCATGACTACAATAATAATAGCAATCTATTATAGCCAACATGAGTCGCGCTCTCGATTGCCAATGATAAGATGATGCATGCATATTATGATATCGGGGTTTTTCAACTGGCAACTGGTATTGAGACTAGAGATATCCTGTTTATGTAAGACGATTCCGACTTTGACCGTTAACAGCTGTAATGTAATCACTGAGTATCAGACTGTCACCGGTTTCTACCTACCTACTCATTTCATTGTGTTTTATTTAGGCCCTCGACTTTTTTAGTTTTACTTTTTAGTTAGACTCTTTTAGTGTTCAGATTTCTTGTGTTAAAAGAATTAAACGACTATGATTGTTGTGTATAACGCCGGCACGTTCGTTCTATTAAAAAAATAGTTTAAATTATCTTCGCTTGGGACCTGGGAGACGATATCAGTGGCCATGATAGTCTGGTTCGTTTATTTTCAGCGCTGTACCAATGAACTTGGACTGTATTATACAGGTTTTCAGCGACACATTCTTATCCCAACTAAATATATTGTTGTAATGTACACTGGACTGGGAGCCGGAAGCGGAAAACCTAAATAAAATTGTAGAATTTCTAACGTGTACCGTCTGCGCAGCCAACAGCTGCGTAAAAAAAGTAATAGGCGCAATTTATGACTAATAACAATAAGTGAACAATAAACTTTATCTCAAAATATAGGACAAATATTTATGGAGTTTTCAATATACAGGTGTAATTAAGTCTCGAGCGGCTCGTGCACAGATAACAATAACGTATAGCCGTAAACTTGATAAAATGTTTTTGTTAAATGACGTTGATCTTTCTGGCTCGAAAAAAAAACATTGTTATCACCGGAAGTGTGCATAAACAAAAGGATAATAAGATGAAATAAGGAAGTAGTTAGGTTGTGCATTTCAATTTCCTCTTAAATATAAAGGTTTCCTTTTATATAGCAATAAAAAGCAGTTAATCAATCTTTTTACCTCGTAATACTACTATTTTATTCTAAGATTTACTTGAATAACAAAACGATCGGACTGAGAAGAATGAAAATTGAAATAGGTGATGAAGGGTTCATTTTCTTGAACCCTGATGGAGTGACGGTCCTGAGGGGTTTTCCACACGTACAAAAAACGGAAAAAAGGGCTCATCGTCTTCAAAATCTTTTTAAGGCGCATATTTCTCATCCTATGGATCTTGCTACATACATCTTAAACGATGTATAATGACATTAAAATATTTAAAGTATTGTACAAATTCTTTAAATACAGTTCTTAAGAGACGTTTGTACGTTTTGTACATTTCCCTCTAATAAATCAAAATGAAAGAAAGTCAGTTCACAATAAAGGTTTTGACTACTTTGCATAAACGAAGTTATAAAGAAAAACGAAAAACATTAAGTTTATGTAAATTTAGCGTGATTTGTTCTCATTACGAGTTGGATGTATTCAAATTACGTTATTCATCGTATTTAGGTAAGTTCCCCTTTGTTTTGCACAATGAATCAGCGACAGTTTTATGTTATGATTTAACAATTTATGGCAAAATATTATTCTTCATTGGTCTCATAACTTGGAAACTATAGGCTATATAGATAAAGGAATGTCAAGAGTAATTTGGTTAAGATTTTTGGTTAAAATAATTTAAATATCAAAGACCTTTGTACGAGGCACACGTCACAAAAATACTATTGTAGGTTTTGGCACCTCTTCAGTGTACGTTGACACAGACACACGCCCCTATGACGTTAATACACAAGAAATAACATTTTAGTAGCTAAGCACACTGGGTGTAGGTGTAATTTACATTTCTAAGCTCCAATAACATAAGCCAGAGTTTTCTGTTTATTGATTTTAAAATGATAATAACAATGACGTCTTTTATCAAAGGTTTAGAGGGAATTTTTGGACTGTGATATGGTACCTACTACTACGTAAAAATAATAGTAATTGGCACGAGATCAAAACCTACTACATCACGGACGTGATAAGCTTATTTTTAATGAACAGGGAGAGAGAAAAAGAGAAAAAAATATAAAAGACGCACTATGTTTGAAGTTCCTATTAATCTCAGACTAGATTATATCTTAAAAAAAAGTTATACGAGGGCAACGGATTTTATTAACTTTTGATGACGAATTGTAATTTTATTCTGTGGAATACTGGATTAAAGAAATCGCGCCGACCTTGGTACTAAACCATTGTAATCATGTTTGCATACGTAATAACTTTAGTCACAATCTACTTATCCCTTAACTCAATAAGAATCGCGCTACATGTGTGGATATAAATCAAACACTTAGCGATAGATCGATGATCTCAGATGTCGTAATGAAATATGGCAATAATTAGCGCTGTATAGTTAATGAATGCATTAGCGTTGGTGACCAGTTACCAACTCACCCCTGGCACCCTCGCCGGCCGTGACCACGGCAGCCGCGGTGCACCGTTTGCATTGGGTAGGACACTTGTCTACTGAAACACTTATTGGCAAATCTGTG